GAACAGGGCCAGCGGCGTCCTCGTACATGCGGGCAGTTCACGCATGCGTCTTAGCGCCTGCGCGATGATCCAGCTGCTTGCGGAGACTCGCGCAGGCGCTGTATGTGCCATCCAGCAGCTGGAGCATCGCGCAGGCGCTAAGACGCATGCGTGAACTGCCCGCATGTACGAGGACGCCGCTGGCCCTGTTCCAACCGAACTGGTTGGAACGGGATTAGCAACCCACCCCTGCTTAGAATAGACATGGTCAGGAATTAATTGCATGGTGCTAGAAGACCCTTTGCTAAACAGGCCAGATAAGCTCCCCTTGTAATTAATTGTGGAAGACAACACAGGAGTTTTACAGTGTACAGCAAGGAAGTTCATCTATGGGTCTCCATATGTTTTGGGCTGTAAATCTCACCGTCCCCTGCTTAAGAATTATGGAGCATTATAATCCAAATAACCTAAAACCCTTCATTAGCCAATTGTCTAAAACCAATTCATATAAAACAACCTTCAACTTCTGAGTATTTCTCTAACTTCCTAAGATTCATAACTCTCATACATATTTTTTGTGTCAAGAGATACTTTTGTTCGCATAAGCTAAAGTTTCTTTCTCCTCTTTGTTACTTTATAGTAATTAAAGGGTGGCCTTGTGGAGCTAAAGCCATTGTTTCACTATTCTTTTTCAGAATTGACAATTGACAATGTATTCTTATTCAAGTTTGGCAATTTGTTCTTTTTCATTCTCAGGCTCTTGTTCTCTGTTATTTTTTGGAAGCAAATGTGAAGCTTTGTAACTTGGTTGACAAAAATGTTATTGAAATTGGAGCTGGAACAGGCCTTGTGTCTATAGTAGCCAGCCTGCTAGGTAAGTGGTAGTATCTCCTGCTGTGCCCTCTGTTTTAAAAATAGCACATGTGATGCTGGTATCTTGAAGGACACAAAACAGCTGGAAAAACAGGTGCAAAATCAATTTGTTCTCAGGGTAAAGCCCCCTTGAACAAGCTATCAATCTTGAAATTGAAATTGTAGAGGGGACGCACATATATAAGTGCACTAATGTGTTGCAGAAAATGACAAGACTTAGACGTCTCAGGATCAAGGAGAAGTTTATTAGCAGCCAGGTTCAGAAAACTAGTCAAAGGCTAGCGTGCAAATTCTGAACAACCCTTATCATCGAAGCACGCATTCTTATACATTCTCAAAAGCAGCGTAACACAGAAACACTTAACTCATTTCTTATTGATTATCTTGAGAAAAGAAGCCTTAAAAAGAAGTAGATATTGTCTTACTTCTCCTTTGGTCTTGGGCCATAGATACTGACTATGTCTCTCTGTACAAACTTTAGGTGAACTCTGTGGTTTTGGGCTTTTGACATAAGAACTTTTACTGGAACCTTTACTGGACTCTGTGGTTTAGGGCTTTTGACATTTTCCTGTTTTTGTACATGTCTTACAAGCAGGTTTTTACCTCTCCCTTCTGCCAAGTCTTACTTTTATATTTTAATTCACATTTTATCCTGCTTTAAATGTGCCCATCTTCCCTGTCATTGTATTTTTATTCTCTTAGTCTTGTTCTCATTTTTGTTTAATAAATTTCAATAAATAAAATAAAATAAAGTAAATAAATAAGTATTTGTGGGATTCATCAGTTTCTAAAGTAAACTGCTTAGGTGTTTATACTTGGGCTGATGTGGATCAAATTCTACTATGGGGAGCAATGGGCTTTATTTTATATTATTTATTGAAATTTATTA